ATGCCATTGGTAAAATTTGTGTAATCAGGATTTTGAGTAAATTGAAATAAAATGGGTAAAAAATAGCATTTTTTTCTGTTTTCAATATTTTTTACAGCAAAACAAAACTTTGTTTCTAAATAAAGTTTATCGAGTCTAAAAGAACATTTATCAATTCATTTGACTTAATATTGTTTACTATTGTATAAGAAATGTTAAAAATGACAAAAAAATTACTTTTTTCTCATTTTATCCTCATTTACACAAAATCTTGACAAACTATGCAAATTCTGCTAACAACATTATGTTTAGCGCAAAAGATCTTCGGAATATTTATTATAATATATTTCAGAAAGCATTTAAAAGTGTTGAACAAAGTTATTATTCTAGAATTTCAAGAATAATGTGTAATCTAACACATTCAAACTGGTTTTTTATTTGTTTTGTAAATTGCATGGTAAAATGTGACCAATTATTCGCAAGTAATTTCTCACTTTAAACTTAAACTGTTCTAATCTAAACCTTTTTAAGTATCAATTTCTGTAACAATTTCCAGACATTTGTTTTTGCAATATTTATATTGTAATATGCAATATTGTTTGTAATTGCGATATTAATTTTAAAATGACGAATGTATGTATTATTACTTCATGATCAACGACTCTCAATAACACGTTGGCTGGTAATATTCACCGCGGAATGACGTGTCTTTCGAGTTATCTTATCTCTTTTAAAATATAGCAGCTCGATAAAAAAATTTCTGTACATAATTATACATAAACGGTTATACACGACTAATTTATACATAGTTTATTTAGAACGGTTATAAATTGTGTACCACCGTTTATGCATAATTATGTATAAAAATTTTTTTATCGGTCTGCCATGTTTTAAAAGAGATAAGATCACTCAAAAGACACGTTATTCCGTGATGAATATTATACCAGCAAACAGGTTATTTCTAAACATTGAAGGTCATGCGTATTGAGAAAAATGGCCAAATATTCATTTGTCATATTTTTGAAATTAATATTATTTATTTCTGCGTTTGATTCTTTTTCTCAGTCTTCAATCAATTGTAAGTTCTTTTTGTTCTTTATACTACAGGTAATGTAGCCGGCAGTAAAGCAGGTCTAGCAATATCTCAGTCATTGATCCTAATCGTTTGTCTACAATACCTCATAAAACAGTTTAGCGAGTCGGTGTCACTGATGATTTCCGTAGAAAGGATTCTTCAGTACATGAACCTTCCTAAGGAGGAACCTATTACTTCGGACAATCCACCGCCACCTACATGGCCATCCCAAGGACAATTGATTTTGAAGAATGTCAACATAAAATATCATATGGATGATCCACCAGTTTTGAAGGTATAAAATAAACCGTCTGTTAATTCTTACAAACGTTATTTGAGTTTTAACACGTAATCGGACTTTACAGAATCTGAACGTATCCATCGACCCTGGCTGGAAAGTCAGGGTGGTTGGACGAACTGGCGCCGGCAAGTCCTCCTTGATCTTAGCGCTCTTTCGCTTGTTCAATGAAGGTCTAGAAGGTGAGATCAAGATCGATGGTCGAGACACAAGTTCAGTGGGCCTGAGTGATCTGCGCTGCAAAATCTCCATTATACCACAAGAACCTGTACTCTTTTCCGAGAGTTTACGTTACAATCTGAATCCGTTTAATCAATACGATGATTTGAAGCTGTGGGAGGTGTTGCGGCAAGTCGAGCTGAATGATGTCACGCTGGATCACGATATCTTCTCTGGCGGTCATAACTTTAGCGTCGGTCAGAGGCAACTTATATGCTTGGCCAGAGCCATCTTGAGAAAGAATCGTTTACTCGTTCTCGATGAAGCTACGGCCAACATTGATTCGCAGCGAGTCTTTACGATTCTTTAGAATTGTATTTAAATATCACTTGGAAAAGACAATAAATTTTGATTGATTAATTATATATTAATAAATTCTCCATAGCAAATGAAGTCACAGTAATCGCAACAAAGTCATGATAACGTGCAAATATTTACCTTGTCACGGATGTGTGATACGACAGTAAAATCATTATAATGTGCAAATGTCCGCTTTGTTACAAGTGTGACATTATACAGGTGAATTAAAAGTTATTCATTATGTTATGGCACATACAGATCAAGATAATAACGTGGTGTAGCCTTTGATGATTTTACAGTAATATCACAAGTGTTGTAACTATTGAAAGTTTATTATAATAAAAACGTGACTTTTTTGCTATAAGGTATAACAATAAATTACCATATGTAAATAATTCAAACTTTCTATTATTAAGTTGCTACTTTTGCAAATAATTACGAATGATATAAAGTATTTTCACAGTATGTGTTACAAGGGTACATCAAGTTATGGTCGGGTACGATAACATTTGTTTTATATTAAAAATTCGAGATTAATAGAAAGCAAATTTTTTCAAATTATAAATCGGATTGGTAGACATTTTATCAAAATTATATAATTTGTATCTGTAATTTGCAACGCATGAGAGAGAGAGAGATAGAGATAGAGATAGAGATAGAGAGAGAGAGAGAGAGAGAGAGAGAGAGAGAGAGAAAGAGATATTTCAAAACTTAACATGTTTATAAATTTGCATCCCTAAATTTGAAACTTTATTTCTAGCACGGATACCTTGATTCAGGATACAATAAGGAGCAGTTTTAAAGAATGCACCATTATCACGATTGCACATAGTTTGAATACGATTATAGATAGCAATCGGATCATTGTGATGGAGAACAGTTCTATCGTGGTAGGTTTTTCCGTTTTAACAATTAAAGTGTGAATGGGTTAAGAAGAATATCGATTTTGGAAAATCAAAATTAAGAGATATAATTTTCTATGTAACTATCTAAAAAGTTTGTTCATAATAATTTTGATTAATAGCTAAGTTCAGTTTCTGAAAGATGTTTAGAATAAAATTCATTCTAAGAAGGGAAATTTTATTCTTTATATATATAAGATTGAATATTGGGTTATTCTTATTCAAGATCAACTTAATTTTTACTCTTTAGAAAGAAAATTTACTTTTTATTGTATTAGAAATTATTTAGAAAATTTAAAATTGATTTTTTTATTATTAACAATATACTTTTTTCTGAAAATTCAATGTATACAAAGAATAATCGACTAGCTTTTTTGGAAAATTTTGTAATTTCCTGAAGAAAAGTCTTTATATGCATTTGTGATAATTAGAATTATCATGTGAATAGGAATTTGGTTGCCCATATGAATTGTTACACGACAAACCAAATGGTTACTTTTCACAAATGGTGGAGAAGACGGGCAATCAGATGGCGCAAAATCTTTTAGAACAGGCGAAGAAGGCTTGCGAGAAGAATAATGATCATTGTGAATTGAATTTGTCGCCACAAAATACTGAGTGTGAGAGCGACACCACGCTTACAGAACAGACCACTTTATAGATTTTCTACTTCTAAATCTTATACTAAAAATATATATACTATATATTGTACACAAAGTTATTTATATACAACGACTAATGAAATTGATCAACCCATGTTATAGGAAATTTTATTTCGAGAATTCGTGAATTATTAGGTGTACAAAAAAGTTCTGAGCTTTAGATTTGATACAACCGAAATAACAATTTAAATTTTATATATCTTCCCGCCCTTTTGGGGTTTTAAAACAGTAACATTTAACCTCCTGAAATGCGATACGGTTTGGCGTTTGATGCACATAACCTCAAAAATCAGTAGTGTTCACGAT